GCGGTCTGTCGCCTGCCAGCGTCGCGGCTCGCACGCGCGGCGCGGCCAGTGCCTGCTGCTGCGGCTGGGCAGATTGTAGGGTTCTGAAAATGGCTTTGTTTTGATAGGCTAGGGACCGAATTTTTCAATGAAATTTTTACATCAAATGAACAATCGAATTAAGGTTCTCCAGTTCAATTTCCAGCCAAAAAGCACGAGTAGAATAATTTAAGAAATTCTTTGAACAAGCAGGGGTCAAATTGACTTTAAGAATCAGCACCATCATTGGAGTCCGGTGACGATTCCCCACCAGATTTGGGAGCAGTCTCAACAACCACAATATGTTCAACAGTAGCGTTATTCTTTTTGGACTTCTTTGCGACAACACTCGCTTTGAGCTTCTTCCTCTTTTTGGGAGATTTTGCAACTGATGGTGAACCTGTTCCACCCACTTCTTTTTCTTTAGCAACTTCGGATGTGACCACCTTTGTAGTGGAGGATTTTTTTGGACTTTGTGAAACCATAGTTTCAACGGTTGGAGGAGGTTGCTGATTTTCCACCACCATGTCGGAGGTTTCAGTGTTAGAGGGTGTCTCGGTACTCCCACTTTGACGAGTGGACCTCCGAGAAGGCTCAGGAACATCCTTCTTTGTCTTCACCGATTTTCTGTTTTATTCTCGGCATGATATGGAGATTTAAGAGAGAACACAAAAAAAAATGGAACGGAAAGTTAGAGCAGTTTCGGGTTTGAAAAGGAATTTATGGAAGAGAGTCGGATATGATGAGGTGTGATGAGATATGGTAGATATAGGGCAGACAAATCACGCGAAACGAGGCCTGAGTATCTAATAGGTGTAGTCAGTAAGTTTGAATTTCAAACTTGTACAACACTCAATGCAAAATAAAATAGAACCGTTCCCTTCAAAAAACAATTCACTTGCCAATCAATTTAATATCTACCATATATACGACATGAAGCTTCTGAAACAAAACAAGGCAAGATCTTTAGTACCAAAATAAATTGGCACGATTTTTTAGGACAGAAATCAATCACTAAGGAAATATATATACACATGCCTAAAATAATTATAAAACACGCAATAACCAAGATGTCCCCAATCAAGCAATGACGTGAGGATTTTATTTGGTAGTTTCACGAATCTTTCCAAAACCAATTTCGTGAGCCTGATACTAAGTAAGTGATAATGTGTCAATATGAAACTAACTCAGCCCTTATAACACCAACTTTTGTATAACACGGAATTAAAATGAGTTCGCACATCAATTTCTCTTAGCAAAGAATGAAATTTGCATTCGCAATTCAGCCCCCATACTTACGATGTGGTTACCCCGTTCTATGAAATTTCACACGTCTTTCATTTACTAACATTAACTATACGCCAATGTCAAGCCCTTTACTCGTAGTGTGAATCATCCCGCAAAAAGTTATTTTCATATGCTGAGATAGAGTGAAAGATGGCCAACCTTATTTCACCAATGAACTTGCATTGACAAAGCAATGACC